ATTCTAAAGTGTGTTTTGAGCAAAGGCTCTAAAACCTGTTTCTGTAACTTTAATGTATAAACCAGTCACCTAGGCTTCTTATCAAAATGCAAATTGTGATTTAGCAGGCCTGGGGTGGGACCTGAGACTCTGCACTTCTAACAGACTGGCTTCAGGTGATTTGGGGATTGCGCTGTGAGTAATTAGGCTACAGAACTGTTTGGACATAGAATTTTAAGGCTAATGATTCTTATTTGGACAGTAGATCAAGTCCTTTGAAGCTACAGAGTATATCAAGCTTGGTGTGCCTCCTACGATAACATGAACAGTCACCTCAAAAATATTCTTTTGGTGTTTATCAATTTTTATGGTTAGGCAAATTTTCCCCACACCTGTGGCTCTGTATCAGTTTGCTGATATCTCTGTGGTTTCATTTCTCATGTGGTATTATGACTGGAGTACACGTTCCCTGCATGTGTGCTGATTACGCCTTTCTCATCTGTATCTCCAGTGTCTATCAGAGGGTTTGGCAGATATTAAGTTGTAATGAACATTTGGCAGGGAGTTTATAGATGATGTGGCTTCTTTCTCAATCCTTGAACTGTGGGTTTACATTTGCATTTAATTCCCAAAGCAATTTTAGGAGATAAAATATCTTCTGCTTAATTTTCTTCATCACCCAAATACTCCTTTTTACCTGCGGCCTACTTGCTTTTTAATTACACTTCCATTTGTCTCATTTAGCCTAAAAGGCCATTTTTAATTCAGAACCACAACCAAAGATAGGATTGACACTTCCAGGTGTCTTTCAATCAAAAGACTTCCTGGTAGAACAATTTCTAGTTATTACAAATGGGGTTGATAGAAAGTTCTGATCCACATGTCAGCTAAAGACATGTCATAGAAATGGAGGATGACCTGAAATGGCTTTAAAATAAACTCTGTGTTGTTCTAAATCCAAGATGTTTGGATCTTAGCCTTCTTAATAAGGGCCCATACAAGCGTGTTCAAAGTCGCTGGGGCTTTCTCTAACCCCAGATCCACAATCACAGTGGTGAAAGAGGTAGCATTTCAAGTAGGTTCCATACATTTGGCCTGAAAGGGCAGACTGGCTTGGACATACGCATTTGTTTTTCTGAAAACCCGTTAAAGCTTTCACTGTGGACTCACTCATTCCTTCCTGGGGAGAGGGGGCGGAAGCACATGTTTTGGGACTGTCACCTGCAGTGGGAGCTTCGCCAGCTCTCCTGCTCCAGTGGCCCTTCCGGTGAATTTTCCCACCTATAAGCTCAGCTTGGTCTCTAGTTTCCTGCCAACCTTCTCCTCCAGGGGAAAGTCCATTCCGCAGCTTTCTATGCCCCATCTGGTGGTATCTGATGTGGTGTCAATACTCACATATAATTACCCCTGGGACTTTAAGCTTGTGTAGCTGTTTCTTGGGATTTCTGCACCTCATTTCTGAAACTCAAGTCTCCTTGTCCCCAGGAGGCCTTTCTGGAATGTTCAGGTTTCTGTTTCCATTCACACCCCTAATTCTTATTTCAGGAATCTGCTATGAATTCTGGGATTCCCTCTTATTCCACCACACCTCTTCTGAATAACCAGGTTTCTTTCCTTCGGTAATGGATCCTGCTGTGGACTGGTGCTCTGAGGAAACACCAAATGATTACGCCTGGATTGCTTAGTCTTTGTGGTTCAAAAACTAACTAGTTTATTGTGGAAACTTGGGGAAGTCACTACATTTCTCTTAAGTTTTTAATCTGCAAAATGGGCTGACAATTGAAGATTAAATTGGATAATTTCTGTAAATGATTTAGCACAGCATATGGTCCCATGGGGAGTGTTCAATACACAGTTGCTACTTTAATTTTTATGATTGTTATTATTTCTGGAGTCCTAGATCTGGGGGACTGAGAAGACCAATTGTAATAGGCTGTAGCTCCCAAAGCCATTCTCTCCTGTTAAAATTCACTTGTACTTACTCAGGTCTGGCAAGGCAATCTTTAGCTTATAGGAAACCTGACCTCTACCCCTGTAATTTCACTGCTTGATCTTATTTCAATAGTTCAAAAATAAGGCAGCATGTGGAGCTTTGAAAAAATAAATCCTTGAGCCCAACGTTTAGGTTTAGAGCAGTGGGTCTCAAAAGGAGGGCCTGGGACCAGAAGCGTCAGCATTGCCAGCCCCACACTAGGCTTGCTGAATTGACAATTCAGCGTAGGGTCCAACAATCTGTGATTTAACCACCCTCCAGGTGATCCTGATGCCTCTAAGGTTGACACTAACTGACCAAGTGGAATCTGATTTTTGACAAGCTCCTCTTGTGATTTTGACCTGCTCTTTCGCATACTATCATTGCAAGCCAGACCGGTACTAGAACAAGAGCATTACCCTGAATCATCTAATACACAGTCATGACTAAACCATCCACTCTTTGCCACCTAGCAGCAGAGAAAGCTTCAGAATTCTCTTACATGGAGAGGCCTCCAGCAATGAAATGAACAAATCATATAAACACTTCTTAGAATCCTTTTACCCTAGGTACACTAATTTCTATTATGCTTACTCATTTGTTTTATTTTTGGCATAAACTTATTTTTAAGGCTACTTTATTGCTTGATTCATTTAATTTATCTGTCACCAAACATTTATCATGTCCCTATTATGTGTCAAGCCATCAACAACAATGAAATGCAAGTTGGTGCAGTCACTATGGAAAACTGTCTGGCAGTTGCTCAAAAAAGTAACAGTAGACTTGCCATGAGATCCAGCAATGCCATTCCTGGGCATATATCTGGACAAAACTATAATTCAAAAAAAACACATGCATCCATGTGTTCATAGACAGTGGCTACTGGCTACTGGGGCTTCTCAGATGGCGTGGTGGTAAAGAATCTGCCTGCCAATGCAGGAGACATAAGAGATGTGGGCTCAATCCCTGAGTCAGGAAGACCCATGGAGTAGGAACTCCAATATTCTTGCCTGGAAAATTCCATGGGCAGAGGAGTCTGGTGGGCTATAGTCCAGGGGGTCGCGAAGAGTTGGACACGACTGAACACAGCACAGCAGCAGCACATTGGCTATTGTGCGGCCAAGACAGGGAAGCAACCTCAATGCCCCTCTGCAGATAAGCAGATGAAGAGGATGTGGTACACAGACACAACGGCATGTTACTCAGCCACAGAAGTAAATTAATGCCACTTGCATGGATAGAGATTATCGTACTAAATGAAGTTAAGACAGAGAAAGACAAATACCATATGATATCACTTATATATGGAATCTAAAATATGACACAAATGAACCTATCTCTGAAACAGACTCACAGACACAGAGAACAGACTTGTGTTTGCCAAGAAGAGGTGGGAGAGGGACAGATTGTGAGTTTAGGATTAGTAGATGCAAAGTATTATGTAGACGATGGATAAGCAACAAAGTCCTACTGTATAGCACAGGAAACTATATTTAACATCCTGTGATAGGCCATAATGGAAAAGAATTTTTTAAAACATGTATGTATACATATAATTGATGCTTTTGAACTGTGGTGTTGGAGAAGACTCTTGAGAGTCCTTTGGACTGCAAGGAGATCAAACCATTCAATTCTAAAGGAAATCAGTCCTGAATATTCATTGGAAGGATTGATGTTGAAGCTCCAATACTTTCACCACCTGATATGCAGAACTGACTCATTTGAAAAGACCCTGATGCTGGGAAAGATTGAAGGCAGAAGGAGAAGGGGATGACAGAGGATGAGATGGTTAAATGGCATCACTGACTCAATGGACATGAGTTTGAGCAAGCTCTGGGGGTTGGTGATAGACAGAAAAGCCTGGCGTGCTGCAGTCCATGGGGTCGCAAAGAGTTGAACATGACTGAGCAACTGGACTGAACTGAACTGATATATAATGGAATCACTTTGCTGTACAGAAGAAATTAATACAACATCATAAATCAACTATATTTCACTAAAGGCTTCCCCGGTGGCTCAGATGGTAAAGAATCTGACCACAATGCTGGAGGCCCAGGTTCTGTCCCTGGGTTGAGAAGATTCCCTGCAGAAGGGAATGGCAACCCACTCCACTGTTCTTGTCCATTATTCCATGGACAGAGGAGCCCAGCAGGCTACAGGCCATGGGGTTGCAAAGAGTCGGACACGACTGAGCAACTAACACTTTCACTTTCATTAAAAAAAAAAAATGGAGTGTCACAATTACTGAGAAAACGTATTGGAGGACAAAACTGATCATTCATGGAAATGATGGCATTTCCTTTCATAGGGAGCCTCAGAAATTGAGTGGACAACATTCCATGCTGGCCACTTAAATACTGTCTTTTCTAAAGTAGGAGAGTGGATTGTATAAATTTTTCTGCTCTCTTTATACCACTGCAAAGCTACAGTACTGCATAAAAAGTGAACATTTGCAGTATGTTCTTAATTTTCTTAAATACAAGTGTTTTCCAACTCCTTGTAAGATTTTCAAGATATACCCCCAAATGTTTATAGCCGAAAAATGAATTAGTGAAAATATAAATAAAACACAGCCTCATTGGAGGATAGAGGGGAGTTCAGAAAAGATGCTGGAATAGTGGAATCTATAAAATATTAGTATGGTGGATGCTATTTCACTCATGTAATTTCCATTTCTAAGAAATGATGACTTTGTTGCTTTTTAAAATTCAGCTCCTGAGTTTTGTATCATGCTTTTATGGGTTAAATCACATGTCAAAATATGGATCTGAGAAACACATCTTACATCTCTCTATAACCTGGCAACAAAATAAGATTATTCAATTAGGAAGCAAAATGAAAGTGCCAGCCAAACTTGCTGCTGCCTCCTGTTACATTATCCAAGAACATCAAACATGTATACCTATGGCCAATTCATGTATGGCAAAAACCATCACAATATTGTAAAGTAATTATCCCTTCAATTAAAATAGGTAAATTAATTTAACAATATTCTTTATAGGAAAAAAGGTCTGGGTATAGACACAGAAATCACATTTTTCAGGCTTACCAGTTTAATGTGTTCTCGCTTCTGGTATTTTTCGCTATAATACTGCTCTTGTCGAAGATTAAGCAGCTGCTGCTGTTGTTTATCCTTCAGATCTACTAACTTTTGGGTCATTTCAGCATCCAGAGCAGCAAGGTCTTGCTCAATTATTGTAGAGACGTGGTCAGGGCTGCTGGGTTCTGATCTGCAGAGACAAAGAGCTTGGCTCACAAAACATGCAGTTCAGAGCAAGGTAGACAGAGGGCTGCTCACCAAAGTCCTTCCTAGAGAGAGGAATGTGTTGGGAAATAAACAGTCAATAAACCACTTGAGACAGAGGCTGATACCCCAAGGACAAGCTTAGCAACAGAGGGTCTCCAAACATGGAAAGTGGATGAAATCTGTGTTGCTCTACAAAGAGGTAGGGGCTGAAAAGGAAAGCCAGGTAGCTAGGGTTCCTCACGGTGGTGCTGAAGAGGATAAAGCTCCTTGGGAAAAACAACGTCTAATAAGGAATTTTTGAGGCTTTCAATATTTTTAACATAGAATGTATAACGCAATTCCCAGCTTCATGTCTTCTATACATTTCCTATACATTTCCCCCATACACTCAGCATTGATAATGCTGTAGGGGAAGTTAAAAAGGTGCTGAATTTTGCTTCCAGATGATGTAGATTGACAGCAGAGAGCCTATGCAGATGGTATGGCAACACTCCCACCTGACATGTTCTGTTTCTTGACATCTCTTAATAGCAAAGATTTGTCATTAACATAGTTTTCTCTGGGAGCTGAACCAACTTCATTGATATCTCTACCCAAAATGGCACTTTGGTTCCAAGAGAAAGGAGGATGAATTGAGTTCATTATAATATATTTATCAAGAGCTCACTCTGTGGAAGGGGAGTTCCTTTGAGTTATTCATAGAGAATCACACAGATATTTAGAAGTTTAGGACTTATGTTGAAGCAAAACAAAGCAATTCTCACTAACTTATTATTGTGCTAAAGTATACAGTGTGGTTCCTTCAAATTTTGTGCTCTTACTTCTTTAGGTCAAATAGAAAGAGAGGCAGTGTTGGAAACAGTACTAAGAGCAGGTCTATTCTTTTCATTTACATAGAAACCTCTGCAGGAAGAACCACCCAGAACATCGGATTCTGTCTCTGCTTTCACTTGTGACCAAGCAGAAGAGGTTTTTTGATTCAGCTGGTACTAATTCCTCTTGCTTTCTCTTTGAATTAGGCCAACACAATAGTGCCATATGGGGAAGCAGTTGGTAGGAGCTAGTGTTAAGATCCTAATTTGTCAAATAAGGCATTCAGAATTCCCTCAAAGATCTAAACATCAGCGTTGCATGGCAGCATTGAAGTGGCCCTCTATTCTGCACGAATATATCTACTTATCAGCATCAGAGTGCAGGAGTATTGGTGGGTGACCTCCGTCTTGGCACGAACATGGGATATGTTTGTCATCTTCTGTAGCAGGAAGTTGGTGCAGCCAGAACAGAAAGGTGATGCTTGAATGAGTGACAGCCAACACAGCAGAGGCACTGGGGTAACATCTCCTGACCATTCAGCAGGTAACAGGGATGTTCTGCTTGGCTTCTGGCTTTCCCAATAAGCCAACTTATTGGCTTATTGTGGTGGTTGAAGGTACAACCACCTCCAGTTTGCATCTGAGGAAACTGAGGTTCAGTGGGGCAGTTTTTCTGAGAACATAGTATGAGGGAGCGGCAGTGCTGCTTACCATAGGACAGCCATCTAGAAACTGCAAAGTCTATGCTCTGGGAACAACACAGCGTCTGATGGAAACTGTCTTTGAATGATCTGCTCTTTGCATTAGGTGAAAGCTCAGTTAGATGATGGGTATTTGAATAAGAAACTAATCTAATATGATATCGCACACATGAAACTTACAAACCGTTACCTCAATAAAAAATACATCTAAAATGTATTTATTAATTCATTTGAAAAGAATAAGCCCATTATAAATTAATACTTATTAACTCCCTGAGCTTTCCTGATGGTTCAGATGGTAAAGAGCTGCCCGCCCTGTGGGAGACCTGGGTTCAACCCCTGGGTTGGGGAGATGTCCTGGAAGAGGGCATGGCAACCCACGCCAGTGTTCTTGCCTGGAGAATCCTCATGGACAGCAGAGCCTGGCAGGGTTGCAAAGAGTCGGACACGACTGAGTGACTAAGCACAACATACACACACATTAATGTATTTAGTGAAAAATAACTGTACTTTCTAAACACAAAGAAAGTCAGTGGGATTTTATGGACATTATGTCCATTTATTACTCTGAGATGTTCTCAGGATTTTTACATATATCATAGGGAGATGGACAAACATAATCAGATTTCAGTGGCTTTGCCTCTTGGAAAAAAAGTTTCTCCTGATGTATTTTTCATTTTTTTGTTGAAAGAAAGTATATAAAAATAACCAAGGGATGACGTTTCTGCATCTTCTTCAAAAACAAGGTTGAAGGCATGATTCCCTGTTACCTAATGTTGCCTGCATATGATCTAAGAGCTGCATTGAACCTTTTTCTTTGTAATTTATTAGTAATACCAGGAAAATGTTTCTTTGTCTTAGAAAATAACCAGATAAGGAGAATTATCTAACTCATATTTCCTTTTCTCAGAATCTAAGAGCTAACTTCAGGGTTCCAGGACAGAAATTACATTAAATGGTTAGTGCAATCCAGTTGGAATATAATATGGGCCAAGTATTTGATTTTTTTGACATAGCTATCTTAAGAATACATGTAAAAAAAAAAAAGATACACTATGGTTGTGATAAAAAAATAAATAAATAAATAAATATTTTAAAAAAAATAAATTTTAATAATGTCTTTTGCATAGCCTGATCTTTCAGTATAGAATTAAAGTAAAATCAGTATATGTTAATTTAAAAACATGAGTTTTTTAGTGAGGTCTTTGAATTCTAGTGTGTATCTTGTGCTTGAAAAACATTTTAACTACAGTGCGCCACTGTTTGTGGCTAGTGACTCGGGTACTAGACAGCAGGTCTGGTAACTGGTAGACAGTCTGCGTGCATATGTATGTGTGTACGTTCTGGGTTTTTTTCCCTAAGATTTCTTTTATGTCTTCTATGATAAGTTACTTCAGTATTCTATTGGAAGTTTGCAGGACATGACTTATAAGTAAATAAATACAGGAATGGACAAATGACTAAATACATAGCACTAAAATAGAAATTTAAGAGAAGTTTTAGGTCAAGCTTTGCCTGAACTGTTTGTAACTGTGGGTAAATGTTAAGCCTTTAGTTTTCGGATTCCTCCTTGAAGAATTGACAGCAGTTCACCTAGATGGCTTCTAAGGCTGCTCCAGGTCTAAAAAATGATGATTTTGCAGATTTTAAAGCCCATGGACTAGAGTTTGATTGTTTTAAAGTTAAGCACATGTTAAAACATATGTCACAAGATGCATCTGGAAAAGGCCTCTTACCTCTCTCTAACCTGGCATCAGGATTGGAATATTGAGTAAGGAAGTAAATGGTACAGTAAAAAGGAAAGAATGGTACAGTTTGCTTGACTCAGTTTTTATGCTCTCATATTTTCCTACATTACCACATTAGGCACACTGGGGTGATAACTGAACAGGTCATGTTCATTGCTATGTCCCCACTGGCCGAACAAATGTGTGAGAGATGCTTCTCCGCAGAACTGTCTGAGTACCTGGAGCTGTGGGCTTAGGCCCTGAAAAAGCATTATCTGGACAGAGTCTTGTGGGTTTCACATAGGTCAGGAGAGGATAGTAGAGATGCTCTTTTCAGCAAGGCCAGCTGCCTCTTCAGCGAGGTTTGAGTCCACAATGAAATGTCACATCCCCCAGGCTGTGTGGTGCGTGCTCAGTCGCTCCAGTCCTGTTCAATCTTAGCAACCCCATGGACCACACGTAACCCATCAGGTTTCTCTGTCCATGGGTTTTCCCAGCAAGAATACTAAGTGGGTTGCCATGCTCTCCTCCACGGGGCCTTGCTGACCCAGGGATCAAACTTGTGTCTCCTGCATTGTATAGTAGCTGCAATATGGCTAGTCAACCAGCTGGTCTTGGGCCTACAAGCTAAAACTCAAGGGTAGAACTTCATGTGTATCTAGTCTCAAAATCTGGTCAAATAAAGAAATTCACAAGCAAAAGTGAACTGAGGGGACACCAGAGCTGTAGAGAGAGGAGGGGGTTGGGTGGCTTTCCTTCTTGCAGTGGTATAGATCCAAAACATGGTACAAAACACTGAAAATTTGTCAGCTATGTTTCAATTAAAAAAATCAAGTATAGGCCACAATATGACAATTTGCAAAGAAGAAATATAAATTGACAATAAATATGCCAAAAATTCAACTTAATAAAAAGAAGTGCAGATTAAGATACTAAAAGCATCACTTTTTCCTCCATCAATGTGCACTTTCATATCTTGCTGATAGCTACAAACTGAAACAGAAAAGTCTTTAAATTGATCTAGGGATCTCATTTCTAGAATTTTAAGAAAATAATTAAGAACATATGAAAGATTTATCGGTACATATTTATCACTACATTTCTTGTAATAGCAAATAATGAAAAACAGCCCTTATGTTCAACAATAGAAAATAATTTAGATAAATTGTAGTTAGTCCATTAAAAAAAACCATTGAAAATACACGCAAATGACTCTCTTCCTTTATACTATGAAACAAAGAAAAAATACCCATTCAGCTTACTTTTTCTTATTGTCCTTTTTGGCTGTCTTTTCCAGAGCTGCTCTCCTTCTCAAGTAGTCGTTCTGGATTTCATTGTATTTCGCAGTGTGCTCTTTGATGAGGTCGGTGGTCTTCTTGTGGTGTCTCTTCACCAGCTCTTTCATTTCCTTGTAGTGCTTCTTTTGAAGCTTCACAAACGATTTCTGCTGCTTCAGCTCTTCAATCGTCTGCGCTTCTACTTCTGCAACAAACGGGTTTGAGAGCCGGGAGGGCGGGAGGGCTGGGCGCGCAGGGCCGCGGCTGCCCAGCAGTCACCCGCCCGACCCTGGCCCACCGGCTCGGGGGCAGAGCTTGGCGGTCAGAGCGTGCTCCCGGCCGCGGCTATTGCTTGCTAACTTTGGGACTATGTTACCGAACTTCTCAGACTCAGTTTCTTTACCGGTAAGTTTTTTAAGCGTTAGGGTTCCCAGGAGACTGAGCCCAAGGGAGGGATTCAGGCATGTGTGATCTACTGCGGGGCCCTCGGGAGGTGAGGGAGGCCAGAGGGTACAGAGCGGCAGCCGCTGACGCAGTCTCGGCCGGGGTCCGCCTCTGCCTGGCCCCAGGGGCCGCTCTGGAGCTGCGAACTGTTCTACAGAGTCAGTTTCATCTTGAAGCACCATACTTGGCAATGTCAGTGGGAGAGGCATAAATTCCCTGGAGAGGGGGCTTCCTTTCAGCTGGGGGCAATTTTCTTTCTTTTTTGGATGAAAGATCTCCTGCACAATCTTCAGCTCTCCCTGTGGTTTGCTAATGTTTGCAAATAGCACTTCATCTGCTTTGATACAAATCTTTGATGCCTAGAACATCAAATGCATCAGGGCATTGTCAGAGACACAGCCGTGTAACAAGTAGATCAAAGGGATATAATGAGACATGCTGCATGCTCGAGTACCTGACACGGCAGCTAGATATTTCTCAGATGAGAAACCCCTCTTCCTGATCAGTGTGCCTTCCATGAAGGCAGTTTTCAAAAGCAGAGGAACTCCTGAGCTGTTAGCAACCAACGTTCACTACAGCTGGGAGCTGGGTGTACCAGATGGTAGAGGCAACTTGGGTGGGCACCAAAAGGATTCATTTTAAGGATCCCACACTTTCTATTTCTTAAGGTTGTTATGGTGATGATGGAATGAAAGAATTAATGCAGTTTTTAACAGTTTCTGGCTTAACAAATGTTTGCACAGGTTCTTGAACACCATTTCTCAGGGGCAGTATTCATAGGATAGACATTATAGGTTTGTATGTTTATCACAACATTGCTCCAGTATAAATCAGTAAGATGAAGGAAGGTCCTTACTGTGATTTGCCCAAAGGGACCATGACGTTAGTGGTAGCTTACATGACTACATAGTGTTTTATTTAATGCTAAGAAAACACTTAATGTGACAGAACTTGATCTTAAAACAGTCTGTATCTTATTGATTTATTTAATCAATTTTAGAATATGCACTTAAAAATACGTTACGTTTCTAAAACTAAGATGCATCATATAGTCAATGGATAGTCACAATTTGTTGGTGCTTTTTCTTCTTGGCAGTCCATGAGTAACGGGGTACCTTAAAATGGACGGTGCCTTAAATTCAATGAATTATCATTTATTTAGACCTGGATTAAGTCTATGGATTAAGACCTGGATTAAGACCATGGTTCACATGTTTCCCATCCTTTGATGTGAACTTTCCACTTCTGGTAACAAAAATAAGTTATTATAAATATTTAGCACTGTCAAGAGATTCAGAGATAATATATGCCATGAATAACAACAGACCTAAATAGAAAATGAAATGTCTAGTGGATAAACATTGATATCAGAGTAATAATTTATGTTCTTAAATGCTAAGGTCTTTAAGCAATTGAAATATGCTTCCCTTTTAATAATGGATCTATTCTCCTGACATTCAGTTCCTTCTCAGAAGGAGGCTGGGGAGAGAAACAGGTCCATTTGCTTAACGGTTTCCCTCAGGCCCAAATGGACTCATTATGGTTGCATAATGACTTATTATGTTAAAATTTATAATCCTAAGGAATCACTGCCGTTTTGGTGACATGTTCAACCCCACTTATTTAAAAATGATGTGCAATGTGTCAGCTGTGGCAAGTTTAGGAACGAGGTTCCAGGTGTTCCAACTTAGGATTAAAAAGAATCCCACTGAAACTACTACTTTTAAAAAAATCTGTGGATAAACGGCTAATTTTTGAATATGTCCTTAAACATAAAGAAAATGTCCATTTATATAAAGAAATAGATAGCACTCATAAACAAACCACCCTGATATAATCACTGCTAATATATCGATACAAATACCCACTTATCATTTATGCATTTGTGTATTTTTAAATAATTTTACAATCATGCTCTGATTTATTTCTTTTTCTCTTGTTTTATGTGTGAATATTTTATTGTTTCTCATGGAATGAAGTCTATAAACACATGTTTTCTTTTCATACATTCCTAAAATAATTTTTGATGCATATTTTAGGTGTTATTTTGGTGAAATCATAAATACACATTCCTTTCAATTTTCACAAAGTGAACAGGCTTCTATAGCTACCACTTAGACCAAAATCAGGATATTATCAGAACCCCAGAGGCCTCTTTGTGATTCCTGCCCTCGCACCCACCCTCCATGTAGAATCCAATCCTTGTTTCTAAGAACACAAATTACTTTTGCCTGTTTTTGAACTTTATGTAGCTGGAATCATAAAGAATGTGCTCTTTTGTGCCTGTCCTCCTTTCTCCAACATTATGCTTATAAATTTTATCCATGTAGTTCTGTGTAATTGTAGTTTATATCTACAGATGAATCCTATTTTATTCTGTCACTAAATCACAATTTATTTATCCACTCTACTGGTTGTGGATATTGGGTTGTTTACGGTTTGGGCTTCTGACCCATAGTTCTGCTTTTGGTGTACATTTCTGTTGTATGTTGGGCCAACATGCTACATACTGCTATACACTGCTCACTTTATTAAAGAAAGCTCATACCAATTTTAGTCCTACTAGTTTAAGAAACTTATTGACTATAAAATAGTTCCAAACTGTATTATCATTCTTAAACACCGTGTATTCTATGGTCACAAATAATCCGTGTTCTGCATTTCTAAAACATACTTTATTGTGGGTACTTCAGGAAGACTGCATTCCTGTTCATTGGATCACATTTCGAACATGAAATTACTCCTTGATTCCAAAATATATGAAAGTATGTAATTTTTTATATCAATAAGGTCCTATCTGCCAAGTATGGTTACTTCTCTGTGATTACATTATGTAACACGGGTTGAACCAGGATATATCTGTAGATGGTTTTAGAAGAGAAATACCAATCATGTTATATTTCAAAGACAAAATTTCCTCCCCTCTAAATACTTAAACTGTGTAATATTCAGGTGCCTAAATCCATGGGGAGGAAGATGGTATTTACCTGTTAAAACACTCTGAATAAGATCTTCTGTTTTGGCAGGTGCCTTTACAGAACCTAAAATAAAAAGACAAAATAAATAGCCTCCTATAACTTTTAAAATTATCTTCTTCCTGTAAAACAAGGTTTGGCTCTGGTCTCTAAGTTTCTTTATTACAGATTACAAATTCCTGAAGAAAAATTATCATGAAAACTTTCTAAGAAATGTCTTCACTTTGTAATTTTGGGTCAAACAAATTAAATGTGAATCTATGTGCTCCATTTATACAGAGAAAGGACATCTCTCCACTTTGAATCAAAACACCTGTCAACAAATCCGGTTTTGACAATGCTACTGCCACCTTCTGGCAAAATCAGGAATGACAAGTGGTCTTTTACAAAGACCACTGGTAGGTCAGCGGGCAGGAACAAAGTTGCAGGCAAGACCTATTGGGTGCCAAAGTCACTGGTCAGAAGTTTAAGGAGAAACAGGATAGTCTCATGGTCTTGAAGTCTCTCCCCCAAGATACAAGGAGAAAGGGGAAAAGTACAACTATAAAGGGGGAAAGTACAACTCTAAGTGGAGAAATCAGGCAGATGGCACCTTAATCAAGTGACCCAACATGAGGTACAACAACATCAGGTGTTCCTGACATGATGCTCTGAGAACAGCATCGTTTCTGTGACGTTCCTGTCACAAATGCACACCTCCAATCTAACCATGAGAAGACATCAGGCCAATCCAAACTGAGGGGCCGTCTATAAAATAGCAGACCAGTACTCTAAAAGTGCACAGGGCATGGAAAAATGAACAGACTGAGGGACTGCTGCAGATTCAAAGAGGCTAAGGACACTTGCCAATTAGTACAGTGTGGGGTCCTGAGTTGGAACCTGGAACAATAAAGACATTAGTGGAAGGCAGGTGAAGTTCAAAGTCTATGGTTTAATTCAAGGCATTGTGCCAATTTTAATTTCCTGGTCTGACTCTGACAGATGTTACCAGCAGAGAAGAGGCGTCCATTTTGGTAATGTATTCTGTGTTATTTTAGAAATGATTCTGTAAGTCAAATGATTCTAAAACACCCAGTTAAAAAAATCAAATGCTAAAATGCTAAGTTTTCTCTTAATCTCAAAAGCACAAGGTTATTCGCTATTTAAATGACTTATTCACATCCTAGAGACACAGAGAATGTTTGTATTTGGCACATAAAATCTTCATTTGAAAATATCACTTCTTGTTTATACTTAAGTCACTCCTTAATATTTTTTATCTCAAGAATCTCCTTTCTTAAGTAGCCTCAGTAGGAGCAGAGAAGCTGAAGGGAAGAATTCTAGGATCATGGAGAATGGTGTCAGTCTTGCCTTCACTTTACATTAGCAACGTGGCCTTCGAGAAGTAACTTATTTCTGCAATTTAAAACTGCAATTTATTCATCTGTACTACGGGGAGGATGGTGGAATCAGCCCTCAGAGGCTTGGTCTGAGAGTGAAATGAGGTAATCCATGGGAAGGGCTGAGCATGCTCAGCACGTGGTTGGCACTTGGTGAAAAGTGAGTTGGAGAAAGACAGAAAGGAATTCTTGGTAGAGACTTAACTCAGTGAAGCAGAACTAAGAATGTACTTCTGAAGCATAAAGTATAAGGTGTTTCAAGAGCCCCTCACACACCCTGCCGGCAGATGGACCAAAAGCTATCACTAAATGAAGACATGCGGAAGCTGGGTGATACCTTGTTTTGGTTTCACAAGTTATCAGCAGAGCCAGCACTTACGAGTCTCACAAGAAGGACTTACGAGTCCTCCCTCCCTTCTGTCATTCATCCTCAGCAAACATTTCTGGACCGCCTCCTAATCCATGTGTCCCCACTGCCTGGTGATGCTAACGCAGTCATGCTGCCCCTTTTGGTGTGGATGCACTAGAGACTGCTGGTTACGTAGGACAGCTCTTTCCTCAGAATGTTTACCTGGAGCTGGTTGGCTGTGGAGAGCCTGGGAGGGTGGTTTGGGTGTCAGGGATGTCGTGTGATTCACCCCGTTTTCTGCTGGAGTTGGCCTGGCTTCACTCGGAGCTTCTGATGGTGTTTCCCCAGGATCAGCCTAAAATCATAGACATCCTTTTGTTTTCCACACTTCTTACTGTTCTTTTGTTACCTTCTGAAACCCACAAAGTTACAATTGATGCCATATCCACAACTCATTTGGACTCTGAAATATCACATTTGAAACTATGTGGAGAGCAGGGTAAAAACAGCATGGTATTGAACCATGATTGTGGTAGGTTAATTGTATTAAAGGCCCAACATCTACACCTTCTGGTGTTCCTGACCCTTGAGTGTGTCCTCCCATACTGACAGTGGAATTGAGCATGTGATTTGCTTTGGTCAAATGAAAGAGTGGCAAACTTAATGTAAGCAATGGGTTGAAAAGCCATGTGCAAATGTTTCTTCTCTTTCTCAGACCCCTGCTATAGCCATGGAGCATGAGAATCCACGTGGAGGCAAGCTGAGTCACATAGGCAAGGACATCCTGGGCCAGGCAACCCCATGCTGACCATGGAAACTTAAGTGAGTCTAGCTCAGATGAGCTTAGTCCAGATCAACAGAACTGCTCAGGTAACTTGTAAGCCACTAAATTGGAGGACTATTTGTTATGCAGCGGTAGTCAATTGACAGTGCTTATAAGCATAGATTTTAGAGTCAGACTTATCTGGGTTATAAGGCCCTGCCACTTATTAATGGCGTGATATTGAGCAAGTCACTTAACTGTCTGCCGCTCACTTTTCTCATCTTTACTGATGACGATATGTATTGGATTGGCCAAAAAGTTCATTTGCATTTTCTGAAACACAAAAGAACTCAAACAAACTTTTTGGCCAATTCCATATGTACTGGGGATCATAATATTATCTACATAGTAACATTGCTTAGAGAATCAAATAAGTTACTATTTATAAAGTGCTTAGAATAATTCCTGGCACAGACAAAATACGTGCATGTTAAAGAGACAAGACATTTAAGCTTGTATAACACTACCGGTGAATAATAGTAACAAATACGTTAACACCTGTGAAATCTTTACTCCATTCCCTACAGCAGCTCGTCTGCTATGCGCTGTCTAGAGCAAACATTTAATGTTTGATGAATAAATGTTCATCTTTATAAAAACAGTTGCCTCCATGATTATATACCATCTTGGTGCTTTCTGGGGTTCTGCAATTCTTCTCTCAGAATTACCTTCTGAGTTCAGGGCAGATTTTCCTGATGATGAGGCTACCCCAATGCTCTATTTTGTAGTATCATTAAAAAATATATATATTAGGAAATGGCCAGAAGTCATTTGGAGCCCAATGTTGTGACATTTTGTCATGTAATTACAGAAAGCAGGTTGTCTTACAATAGCATTTTTAGAAAATGTAATATGAGAATGAAAATAATTACTCTCGTCACAAGTGGCTCTTTTAAAATTTATTTTAATTGGAGGCTAATTACTTTACAATATCGTAGTGGTTTTTGCCATACAAGTGGCTTTTAATCTGTCCCCCAAAGCATCTTTAAAACACATGTTCCAACACTGCTTTTGGTGATGGATGGCAAACTTATTTTAATTTAGCAAACAATCCCTGTTTACCTACCACAGCCTGCTCTGCTCAGAGCTGTGACACTGAGATGCAAGATATGAGCTGGGGTCAGTGGTGGTGGTGGGCGGGGAGGCAAGAACCTAGGCCTTGGAACTCATGATACAGAACTCTAGCTTCTGAAAAACAGCTGCTCCGAATAGGGAGGTTCTGCTGTGTTTGTGTTATTCAGTCATATCCATCAGGAAAATTCTCCTTGGAAGCATGATGCCCAGGAGGGGATTGCATATTTTTTGTTCAGCAAGAGACTGCAACCTGAAGGCTTATGGTTCAAATAGAGTGCATGGAAATGCTCACTTAAGTGTTGCCAGATTTTAAAATGAAGGAGATTTTACCTTAATAAAATGGATTTCTTACTTCACTTGAAAAATCATATAGGGCACCGCTGGGCCTGCATTCTCACTCTGGGAGAGAACAGAGGGGTTTCTGCCCCTTCAGTACACTTCCATCTTACTCATTTACCTGCCTCAGTCCTGTAGGTTTGCAGAAGACACTTGAGAAGAATGAACTATCATAGACGTTTGACCACAAAATGCCTAAAGAAAGTGTATTTACATTGCACAGAAGGGAGCTGAAGTAAAGGGAGTGTTGGAAAGAGGACTGGGTCATCAGCAACGTTACCCCCAGCTTTGTCCTCTGGCTTGAATACTGTGAGGGTAAACTTTTCCGCCTCCCAGTTGTAGGGGGTCTCCTAGACTCAGCTGCCTGGGAAGTAGGGACTGAAGGTGCTCTGTTACATGGGCAATGTGGAACCCATTTATATCCAGGCAGGTTTCTGGAACCATGTGGGGAATAAACCAGATTCTTCCCAGTATGACAGCTGACTGATACTAGCCATCTGGAGGAGGACAGGGAAGAGGACAATTTTGATGGAGCAAAGAATGGAGGTGGTGGAAAGTCAGTTTCCATGAAGGCAATCATGTGTGGTTTCTTTTTGGCAATTAGGAGGAGTGTCAGGGGCACTCAGGCTGGAGGCATATTCAAAATGAATGCAGAAGGCTATTTCACCTGTATCCAGTTTGCAGGTATTCCATGGAGATGTGTGCCCTTGGGAAATCAAATTCAATCATTAACTCTAGTTGAGATGCAGGACATAGAAACCTCTGCTTATCAAGAGTGTGTAAGACATTCCAGAAATTGATATAATGTATGAATTCAAAGACATTTTTTAAAAAGCAGATACATGTTGTCTTTCCCTTAAGAATTCACCTTGAAATGGAAGGGACACTGGTTGGATCCCTGATTTAGGAAGATTTCATATTCCTTGGAGCAATTAAGCCTGTGCACCCCAGCTGCTGAGTCCACTCGCCCAGGAGGCGGTGCTCTGGGGAAGCCCCCGCAGTGGGTCGCAGACACAGGACAACGAAGCGAAGCCCCCATCCCCTGCAACTAGAGAAAGCCCGTGTGCAGCCACGAAGACCCAGCACAGCTGAAAAATAAAAGACTTTTTTTTTTTTTTTTTAAAGCAGATTAACGTTGAGGAAATACAACTGGCAAAAATTTTGTAGTTACAAATGAGGATCAAGAGATCGTCAAAGCCTGGAGCTGGATTTGGGGCCAGCTTTGGATAAATGCTTGGTCCGGGGGTCCTACTAGAGGTAGGGCAGGCTGCATCGCATCCATAATCCCAGGGCCACGTGGGGCCCCTCGCACTGTAACAAGCAGCTGATAGAAATGATGAAAAAGAGCAAACCAGACGAGATGGAATGCCACAGGGCCAAGCGAGGCTGTGCCCAGACTTGGAGAAGCAGCCGCTGAGAGCGGCGACTGCGTTTCAGCCCGGGCTTCCAGGAAAGTTGGAAAACTGCATTTTTGTCAGGTGGCTCCCATTTTAAAACCACTGAGAAGCCAAACAAAACTGATCTTCAGAGCGCATTTGGCCCAGAAGCTGGCACCTGGGCCCTGCGCTCGGAGGAGAGCTCTGTCGGGGTCAGCGGTGCGCCCGCCCGCCGGCGGAAACCGAGTGGGCGGGGCGGCCTGCCTGCGGTCCCTGCCCCCTTTCCTCACCCGAGCCAGCAAAGGAGGGCCGCACAAGAATGCTGAGGACTCGGGCCCCTTGTGTAGGCTGACCCTCGTCAGAGACCTCTTAGGAGTTCCTGGAAACTGATTACAAGCTTAATGAGAGCTTACAGTGGCATATCCATCAGACTGATGCTTAAGGGATGTTGCTAACGAAGGGCAGTATATACAGATTTGAACTGGCATCCCTGATGAAGACTGACCACAGAAGCGACTGGAGATCACCATGTGCCAGACACTGTCACACATGCTAGCTTCATCTCAGCCAGCTGGGAAGGCAGTCACTCAACTCCATCAGACGGAGAGATTTAGTTGTTCAGTCGCTCAGTCGTGTCCGACTCTGCGATTCCAAGGGCTGAAACACGCAGGCTTCCCTGTCCTTCACCATCTCCCAGAGCTTGCTCACACCATCAGGGGCATCAGTAAGTGTCTTTACTAAAGACTTTGTTAAAAGTCATTAGTAACTTGCTGGAAGCCACAGTGTTAACAGGGACATTAATGTTTGAATATATGTTACAGTCTAAAGTCTAGGTTTTTCGACCACATTAGTTCACCCTCTATCCTGATAAGAGCAACTTAAGCAACCACAATAGTAAACCACTTACTTTACTGATGAGATACAGAGATGTACAAATGTAAACAGTATTCTCAAAGAGCTTACTCTGTTGCACTAAAAAAGCATTCATGTATCAAAAATGAGTTAAAGCAGCTAAACACAAGAATTGTGGGGGGGAGGAGCCCAATACAATACTATAATTTCTAATATCATTGAAAGGTTGAATAATTCACATGAGATGAAATGCAAAAACCAGATCCCTTGCCCCACTCACAAGTGTAATTGGAAGGCAATACTTGTGACTTTATTTCTCCCCAGTCCAAATATTCTTTTTCATGAGTTAGAATAAAATAAGCCTGCAATCCTTTCTCATTGCACTGTAAGTTACAATAGAAACAAAAGAACTAGAAATATTTTCTCAATTTAATGGCGAGACTCTTGGGATCCAATTAAACAAATTTTCAAGGAAAGAAGTTTCAGAAGTTTATTTCACTTGCGCTAAATTTTGCTTAGGTGAGTAGAGAAAAATGAGTTACAGCAGAAACAGTTCACTTCTCTCCAGTGGCCAAATGGAAGCATTACACTATTTTTCTTTCAAAACATGGAACAGTAGATGTTTTTAAAGCCAAGATTGAAAAAAAAAAATTATATCCTCCCTATTTCCAATATGAACAGAAAAACCTTAAAATATAAGTGGATCAGTAAAAAATATAACTAGAAAGACCATTTTCACAAGTTTTAGAGAAGGAGGAAAGGCTACGTGGAATGCTAGCTAAAAAGACTTCAGTCCCAGGCCTTAAAAATTGGGTCTGATGATGAAGCAATAGAGAACTAGGATTTAGGGAATTTAGTGGGGAGGTTCATATGGTAAAGTAAAAGGCTTTCCAA